GTCTTTTGTAGCAGAAATAAACTGCGGCAGAAAAAGTTAGGTCCATGCAAAATGTAATGTGTAACTGCAACACTCATTTCAAATGTAGTAGAGTAAAGAGTACAGATACTCGTTCAAAAATGTAGTGAAGTAAAGAGTAAACGTTGTTAATATCTCTGATACTCAGTACAACTACAAAGTACCCGAAAAGACACTCAAGTACAGTAACTAATTACATTTACTCCAATACTTTACACCTCTGATCATCATTACTGTTGAATTAACAAAAATGAACAATTTTTAATCACAAATCATCTTAACCAATGTCAGCTGTCTCCAACATTTAGTGTGATCCCGTTAGCACATGAATGAAACACATTCATTCAAATTGTGACACCCAAGATATCACATTATTTGGGCGCTCTCTACAGCATGATGGGAATCATTTTGTTGCATTTTATTAGTTTTAACATGCGTTGTAGTGTTGAATCAAATTGCCAGCTTTGCTAAATTTTAAATTTATGGGAAATACATATTGATCAGTAAATAAATAAACTTGCTAGCTAAATTTAAAAAAATATACATTTGACGTATATTTATTTTTTGATAATTGTAAACTGAAATGTAAAAAATACATAAATTAAAACATTAAACACTGGTGTAAAAATAAAGTTAAATAGAACTATTAGTAACAATGACAATTTCAAATGTCAATTAAAGAAACTAAAACTGAAAATGGAAAAACAATTATACATTTAATTAATTTGAATAAATATTATATGACTTAGAGTAAAATAACTGCTACAAAACAACATTTAGTGCCAACTAGATGAGAGACAGTTTAGTCCAAGTCAGGGGTTCTCAACTCTGGCCCTCAGCCCTAATCAAACACACCCGAGCAAAGGCTAATCAAGGTCTTCAGGATCACTAGAAAGTTACAGGCAGGTTTGTTGTACCACAGTTTTATGTAAAATTTTATAAACCTGTTTAATTTTGACAAAAAATCTAAGTTTTAAATTGTGTTTATATCTAAACAATTTCACAACGTGCTGTAATAATGATAAGCCTCATATGAAATCAAGGTTAATCAACTTATTTTTTTTGCATTGATCATTTGAATTTATTATTATTATTATTATTTTTTTACTTTTTTACTCCATTCATGTAAAATACATAATCATTGTAGTATCTGTGGTATTTTCAGCGGAAACTATAGTTTTCATGTCAAATTCCTGTCAAAGTAAAGCTTAAAATATCCCACATCTGTTTGCGAGGCCATGATTTACTGCAACATTTCTCCACTAGGATGACAAGTATTTCCAATAGATGGCAGTGCTCCTCTGATCAGCTGGTGCTTCTGGAGAATGATCGAGGAAGTGATTAGTGCTTTAACAGAGGGACAGATGCCAGGAACAGAAATAGTAAAGTTGAAAGTGAGAAGCAGACTGTAGAGTGAAGCTGTATCTCTCTGTGTGTGTGTGTGTAGTGTACAGCGGCCCGCTGAGATCTGATCCGTGTGTGTATTCGCGTCTGACGACAGACAGTTGTGATCGGACGGGGGAGATCAGCGAGACGAAGATCATGTACAACAGCAGCAGCAGCAGCACACCATCCTCCTCCTCCTCATCCGAGGCTGGAGACATCAGAAGTTCAGTGTTTAGCCCGGGTGAGCCGCTCAGACAGCCGCGCACGTCTCCTCCGGTGTCTGACAGCAGCGCAGGTGAAGTAAAGTTCACTGCTAGCTGACATGCTAATCCGCTAATAACTGTCTCTGCGATGTAGCTAATGGTGCCAGAGTCTTTTGAGGGGGATATACACACAATGCCTAGTCCTTTTTTGTCTAGTTCTGTATTTGTGACACCCTCGGTTATAAAAAAGCAGAACATTTGGGTTAATTAGCCTGTGGAGGAGTGACTTAAGTCGATGACAGTTAATGCTAGGCAGTGTTTAGATGTAAGTTATCACGATATACATACACGCATTTATGTTTATGTGTGTGTAAATATGTTTGTATATGTGCATTTGATTTAGAGAAAGATGACGGTTCATGCTAGTCAATGTTTAGATGTAAGTTATCACGAAATACATACACGCATTTATGTTTATGTGTGTGTAAATACGTTTGTATATGTGTATTTGATTTAGAGAAAGATGCTAATGCTTGGGTAAGGTAAAAAGCTGCTTTTTTTAACAATGGCAGTAGAAATACCTGAAAACATACATGGGGTCCATGTTTATGTGCAAATATATGACGTTACAAATGCTTTGAAGATGTGAAACTTATTTTTAACATTTCAGTAAAGTTGAATGTAGATATATAGGCAGCTAGAAACAAACAGACAGCCAGTAAGCCAGTTTCCACCACATCTGGCTATTATAGATAGATAGATAGATGGATCGAGTACAAAGCACATCGACCATTTTAACCATAGTTTCCACCACACCTGGCTATTTTAGGTGTATTTTATAGATAGATGGATTGATGCATGAGTAGATAGATGGATTGATGCATGAGTAGATAGATGGATTGATGCATGAGTAGATAGATGGATTGATGCATGCATGCATGCATGGATGGATGGATGGATGGATGGATGGATGCATGGATGCATGGATGGATAGAGTACAAAGCACATCGACCATTTTAACCATAGTTTCCACCACACCTGGCTATTTTAGGTGTATTTTATAGATAGATGGATTGATGCATGAGTAGATAGATTGATGGATGGATGGATGGATAGATGCATGCATGGATGGATGGATGGATGGATGGATGGATGGATGGATGGATGGATGGATGGATGGATGGATGGATGGATGGATGGATGGATGGATGGATGGATGGATGGATGGATGGATGGATGGATGGATGGATGGATGGATGGATGGATGGATGGATGGATGGATGGATGGATGGATGGATGGATGGATGGATGGATGGATGGATGGATGGATGGATGGATGGATGGATGGATGGATGGATAGATGGATGCATGGATGGATGGAGTACAAAGCACATCAACCTTTTTAACCATAGTTTCCACCACACCTGGCTATTTTAGGTGGATTTTATAGATAGATGGATTGATGCATGAGTAGATAGATGGATGGATGGATGGATGGATGGATAGATGCATGCATGGATGGATGGATAGATGCATGCATGGATGGATGGATGGATGGATGGATGGATAGATGCATGCATGCATGGATGGATGGAGTACAAAGCACATCAACCTTTTTAACCATAGTTTCCACCACATGGCTATTTTCTATTTTAGATGTATAGATAGATAGATAGATGCACGAATGGATAGAGTACAAAGCACATCAGCCATATCAGTTTCCACCACATCTTGCTATTTTAGATGTATTTTGTTATTGGATGGATGGAAAGATGCATGAATGAATAGATATATGGATGTAAAGATGGGTGGATGGGTAGATATATGATAGATGCATGAATGGATGGCTGCAGAAATGAATGGATGGATGGATGGACAGATGCATGAATGGATAGATAGATAGATAGATGTGTGGACTTTTACTGGAATGCATGAATTAGAGCTGGTTAAATTGTCACCAGCAGTTAGTGGATAAATCTGTCGTGTGACCTGAGTGGAGAAGTTAAGTCATCTTGTCGGGTTGCTTCTGTACCTACACGACAAGTCTAAGGTTTGGACATACCTGCTTTTTCTTTATTATTACTGTTTCTCACATTTTTTGACTACTAGTAAAGTCATCAAAACTATGCAATAACAAAAAACAGGAATTACCGGTACTGTGTATAGTGACTACAGATGTTTCAACATTAATGCCAATCTTCATCGCTCTGTCTTCCAGAGAGCAGATCCCCTATTCCTTCAGGGCACAATAGCAGCAGTGCTGCAGATGCGCTTGTGAAAAACTCCAAACTGTCTGCTGCGGCACCTGAGTTTGTCCCGGGCTGTTATGCATCATTCCAGGTGAGTCCATGTGGCTCTTTTTTGACACTCTTTTTGGGAATTTACTGTGGTATTAGTCTAATGTTCTCTTTTTTTTTTTTTTTTTTTTTGGGTGTTTTTTTCAATATGTTAGTCTTAAGGTTATCTATAAGGCAGTGTGCTCCAAAACAGTGACAAAATTCGCCTTTAGAAGATACAAGCATTCAAAGCTTGTAGTTCGTCACTACCGCCCAAACGGCTCAACGATTTGATGTCACATCGTACTTCAGCTTCTCACCAAACTTTCTGTCCAATCAAATGCTCTCTAGAATCCGAAGCGTCCGCCCCCTACACTATAAAATAGACGCTGAAGCCGCGGCTGAAATCGGTCACTTGTCCACAGAATTTGTATTTTCTGTACAGTGAATGGCACGTAGTGCACTATATAGGGGACGGAACGATTCAAACAGTGTAAATATGCTTTCCATTGAGGTAAAAAAAGAAGTGGCTTGCGCTGTCATGCTAACCACTGCACACACACTCTGCTCTGGTCCAGAGACACGATAGCACGGAGCGGATCACATGTGCGAGTCGGCGCAGACCACAAAATGTATCGGAGCTATTTGAATTATACACATAATGCTATATTTTATAGCAATATGGATGAGATTGTGGCTGGCATACCCTTTTAAATGCGGCTTTACGGAGCTCAACGACTCTGAACGGCTCTAGCCCAAGCTGTGATATAAACTAACGCTATTGGCTATTTTAAAAAGGGGCGGGGCTGCTTTATGTCCCGCCCTGTCTTCCTGTTTCAGTTAAAATGACGTCAACACA